TATAAAATCCTGAAATTGGAGAATAAAATCTCAGGAAATACCTGAACAGAGGAGTGATGGAAAGAGTCACGTTTTAACCTGCAAATTTAAAACGCTATTCTCCCAAAGTCCATGATAAAGTGTTGTCTCTCACATTAGGACTTCAGGATTGTAAATGGCACAAACTGAATTTGAAAATGTTCACGTCTTATTAGTTGGAGCTATAGTGGTTTTACAAGTTACAAATCAACCAAAAGAGGTCCACTTAGGGTCCACGGTGTTCAGCCAGGTTGCAGACAGTTTTATCTGACACGCAGAGAACACCGACTGCGTTTCTCTCCACCGAATCCGCTGAAGATCGAATACAGTCGGAATAATAACGAAAACCTCCGGACGATTTAATGAATGTATTGATCAAGTTTATTTCATGCTGGGGGGGTCCTTCATATAAAGCTCCGTTGCGCGCAAACCAGATCCTTGTTGTGCACTGCGCTCCACATCCTGAGCAGCTCCTGCGCGCTCAGTTTGTGCACCACGATGAGGCTCTTGTAAAAGCACGGCTCCCTGTTCATGGAGCTCACCTTTTGTCTGGTGATGCCGAAGGTCCTGAAGCCTGAGTGCAACTCCGGAGACACGTTCAGCCTCTTCAGACACATCCCTAAAAACACGTCGTCGATGGGATACAGCTCCACGTCCTCCGACGCCGTGAAGAGCCTCCTGGCCAGCTGGGAGGACATCACGAATCCGCCACCCCCTACGTAGGGCGGGTACGGCTGGTCGTAGAGCTCTTTGGGTATGTAGTATTTGCTCTGGCGGTTCCGGATGGGGATCGCCTTGGAGATTGTGTCCCCCACAAACAAGTCGGAGTCTTTGCGCTCCTCCACTTTGAAGCCGATGAACTCCAGCAGGTTGTGCGTGTTCACAAAGACGTCGTCGTCTCCTTTGAATATGAACTGCACCCTGGGACAGTAGATGTTGAACCATTTGAGGAAATTCACCTCCTTTAAGGTCAGGTTGAAGAAGGTGTCCATAAAGTCCCACTGCAGGATGTCTTTGTAGATCCGATCCTCGTACTCGATCAGTTTCTGGAGGTTCTTTGTGTCTTTACCCGTTGTCGGGGTTCCGAGTAGAAATAAAGTTTTGATCTTCTTTCCGTTAATTGTGCGCTCCTTGCCCCAGGTTTTACGCACAGCTTCCCGCCGGTCGTGCTGCTCGATAACGGACTTGATCACCATGATGAGGTGCACCTGTCCGTCCGCGCATTTCTCCGGGTGGTTGATGAGCATGGGGAAGTACCTACAGTGTCTGTGCAGAACAAACTGGTGAAACCTCGGGTCCAGACGCCGGAACCAACCCTGACTCTTCACCAATTCGTCCTCGCTGCAGTTCAGAACTTGTACTTCCCAGCTGGTCGGGGTCCCGTTGGACACCCGCTGCGAGTCCACTCTCTTGCTTTGCGCCGCGGCATTTAGTCTCCAGAATTTGGACTGTACCGGTGCCTGTATTGAAGGAAAACAGTCCGAACCGCACCAGTCCGCTTTCTGTGCGCCTTTCAAGCCCTCTGCGTCTTTTTCCGACAGTTTCAGCTTGAGAATCATCAGAGCAGACGCGAAAACCAAGGAGAGACTCAACAAGGACTTCACCAAACCTGCCCGCTTTCTCCGAAAGAAGTGATCCATATCTGTCACCGTGGCGCCACGGGACCCTCAGATGCTGCGGGTTTGGTCTTCATACTGTTTCACAGCCGTGCGTCCTCGTGGAAGCATCCACCGCCTTCCATCCTCACGCGCACTTGCGGCAGAGTGAAGTCGTCCCTCTGTGAGCCACTTCAGCTCACGTGGACGATTGTCACACATCACTGTTTATTGTGGCTGGGGGGGGGAAAAAGAGACGCATGGCTCGCAGTCGCTCTCGTGTCGCTTTAAGTCTCCTCGCAGACTGGAGACCTGTTGCAGGACCGTCTCACCCAAATATCCCCCACCCCTCGGGGATCTGCCCTGAAGCAGGGCAGAGCTCTTAATCGTCATCAGGTGCCTGATGCATCATATTTGTGCGTATAGAGGATTTATTTTCTAATGATCAGTAACGAGAAACTGTTAAATCAAATTGTAAAAGACATGCACAGCATCCTAAATATACTGTAGCTTACACTTCTGATCATCAGTGAAGTGATGATGTGCTTTAAAGAATATATTTATGCATTCTGATCAGTTCGGGTTCCGGAAGTTGAGATTCTGCATAAATACAGACTGGATCACCTCGCAGCAGTCTGTGTGATCAAGTTGAGATTATTGATCTATAGATCTCTTTGATCTGCTACAGGGCTGACATTTTTTTCTCTCCTCCAGCTGAACGCCTGGAGTCATTGTCGCGCAATGCAATTAATCCGCGACTAATCGGATGACCTCCTGACTGCACAGAGGGATAAGAATCCATTCCTTTCAGGTTCTGTGAATAGTAAAGGGTGTACATTTCTTTAAGGGACTAAACGAAACTGATTTTTTTAGAATTGTTTAAGTATTTTACTGGAAAAAAGTAAAAGACACGAGATCAACAGGTTAATAGTATTTTTAGCTTGTAAATAGTATGAAGCGTTTTGCGGTCCCCTGGACTAATTGATAAAGCGCTATACAAGCGCATGCCACTTACCATTCATTATAAGGGTTATTTTCCTTCTTTCTTGCAAATAGTTTTTCTTTGTTTTGCTGTAGTTTTTAAACTGTAAAATTAAACTATGTGTCGTCTGTTTTTTTAAAATGTGCTTTCAATGCACCATTTGTCTTTTTTTTTAGGTTTGTTATTGAGAGAAGTATTTGTGAGATTTTGTGGCGCGGTGATTGGTGCTTTATATTTCTAGTGTTTAAAATGTTGTATTGTCTGGTGCTTTTAAATGACTATTTGAAAATAGATGCTGTAAACTAAGTTGGGATTTTTAATTGTGTTTTTATGATTGCCTCGTTTCGGGAAATGGTTTCTTGAACATATATCTTCCCTTCAGTGAAATACACGTCATCATCTTTTTTTCTAAAACTAATTTTGTCTCCTACGTGAATTTGATAATTCCAAGTGAACCAACCAAATATTACCTTTTATGAACCGTAATCTTACATAAAGTACCTACATGCAATAACTGTGGCAGAATCGTCTGCAACCAAACAGAAACAAGTTGTAAAATGATTATCCTCTTGCCCCCTCTTATGGATAAATGTGTGAACTACATTGATCATGAGGTGTGACATTTTTTTTTTTACCTCAACTTCCTATGCAAACCACACAGTGAATTTTCTCACACATTTAGACCAAAGATTAAAAAAAAAATTACCTCCACATTAAGATTTCATTGCAACACATTATAATAACATAAATAGTTAGGCATAGTTATGTAGTCAGTTGCAACTTGCAGATGTTTAGTTTAAAGCGAGGATCGTCGAGATTACTTTTAAATAAGATGATACAATCTCTTTGACTCAAAGTTTAAAACCAAAACGTTGTAGGTTATGATTTTTTCTCTTTTTTTAACAGGAAGACTTTGGAATCAGTTAATGCGCAGTTAAAATGCGTGTTTAGGTTATACTGTTGAGGAAAAAACCCTCCCTAACAGGGATAAATGTCCGTTCAGTATTTACAACCCAATGTAATATTTTTGTGTAGAAAGAGACTGACCCCTCACAGTAAATTATTTGATCAATAACGTTCAAACCCATATTTACATTACTTTCGTCCGCTACGTCCGCAGACATGTAGGCTGCGTTCCAACATTTTAACTGTAGCTCTTCCTCTTATTAGGATGTGATGTAACTAGGAACACACTTATTACTTTAGGCTGAATAAAGGATCTGAATGAAGATTAAGTTCAAATTTTCTTGATACTTCTTGCAGCTACCCGACTCCGTAAAGAAGAAAGTCGCTAACCCTTCGTAGTGCACTACCTAGTGAACGAGTGAAGATATTTTGAACGCAGCCCAGGGAGTACTCTGCAGTGCCAGTACAGGGACGCGATGGCCTCAGCTTGAACCTGACAGCAGGAAATACACGGAGAAGGCGGCGGTTCAGACTCAGACAGACAAGCAGAATACAACGACGGCGGCACTGCTCGTAAAATTTTCACTGCCTAATAGTTGCTTATAGCTGTCATTTTAGTCACAAAGCTAACAAAGAGCTAGATATTTGGAACCGAAATAGCACCGGCGGCGAGCGATGCACAAGGTAAGAGAGAGTGTAGCTAATCGAGTAAACCAGTAACGTCGTGTTATGTAATTAAAGTATTTTAGCTTTCAACCTTGGGGTGTAAAAGCATAAAACTGTTTTTCGACGTGTAGTTTTTAACACACACCGACACTTTGGGGTCATAAGCCGTTATTCCCCTTGTTGTAACACCGGGTAATCTTGGCGAAGGCTAAGTTAGCAATGTTTCTGGACAAAGGTGTCGAGATGGAGAAAATGTTCGGTATTTGCTGGAGGACTGGAGCTGTGATTGTTTTGTAATTTGAGACTTTCTTTGAAATTTCTCGTCAAAAAGGGCTGGGTGGGTGTCGTTGGGGCTCAGGATGAATTGCAGTAGTTTCTTTATGATACATATTGTACAGAAAATATTCTACAGTTAAATCAGTTACAGTTACAGTTACCCCTAGCTCTACTCCTGTCTCTTGTTAATTAAGTAAGATGGTGGTGAAAATATCAGTGAAATGGGACACTATGAAGAAACTAATGTTGTTTCACATTAAGCTAGTATAATAGTTTTCTTGAGTAAACATTTTGGACTTTTTTTTTTTTTAGTTTAAGAAAGAACATAAATACTTTATACTTTACATATATACTTTTCTATGTTTAGACCAAGAGTCTGCATTCTTTATAATCCAAAGAGCTATTTTGTCCATAACCCCGCTAAATGAACCTCATTTACAGCTGCAAATGTTACATGACCTTTGGAAAAAATGATGACTTCTAATTTTTGATAATTATCTACAAGGAAATGAGTTGTCCTTTCTAAAGATGAGTCTGTTTATTTCTGTTTTTTTTTTTTTTTTGGTTTTAAAATGAGGAAAAACAAAACTTTTTGTAAAAATGAGAAGGAATATCTTCTCTATGGGATGATACATATCTGTGGAATATATTTGGGATCACAATGTTCTACTTTTTTGTGAGCTAGAAGATTAAAAAAGTTGGGAACTTCTGCTATAAATTTACCGGCAGATTGAAAGCGTTTAAGCCAAAACCTTCAGCCTCACCAAGAGTTATGAAACTGAAGTGTGCGTTGCTCTTCACTTAACGAAGCATCTTAAAAGACTCGTCAGTGAAGTTTTACTTTGTTTTGTTTCTATTGAGAGGTTTGCTGGTCGTACATGACGCTTCAGAGATTTTGTCTCCCAGGTATACATCTAAAAAATAAGTGACGTTTTGAACAATTGGAGCTTTTGAAGCTTAGTGGTAGCTGCTGTAGTGCTGCTCAGTAGTCTCACATTCAGTTTTTTTTTTTATCTCAAAAATCTAAACGCACTCGAAGAGAAATCTTAAGGCCTGGATTCAAGTCTCGTTCTCCGTGTTAATTTTTTGCTTGCTGGCCGAGGTGACATGTAACTAATTGTGCAGATATACATAAACCACTATTCATCACCTTCTAATCTAATTTCAAAAGCAGTGCTTAATCCTAACCCGAGACGTCAACAGCACAACTCATTTTTGTCCTGACTTTAACCCAGCCTGTAAAATCCATAAAGTGGTCAGTTCGTTATGCCGAACAAGCGGTTTTATATGGTTTACGGTGAGCCTTTGAAAATTAGAGAAACATATTGCTTAAGATCAATTTACAGGCCGAGTCAGACCTCCAATAATCTGAAGGTAATCTGAGTTGCCAGCGAGGCTTTGTGAAAACATTTAGCTAAATAGCTGGAGCTCCCTGGGACCTGCTAGGGTGACAGCAGCTGCATCAGCTGACTGACTGAAGCCAAATCATTTAACTAAGTAGTTGCTATAATGATATGTGGTTACTGAGGAATAAGCAGCCTGTGTTTTGGTTTTGTATATGCATTTCTTTTTCCAGATGCCTAGTCAACTTGATAACATGACGTCTAGAAAGAGGAAGAGCAGCTCTGAGGTCAGAGCCTCTAGAAAGGTTGGTTTTGAGACCACAGCTTTTTATCTGATTGTTTTTTGTTTTTTTTTTTTTCTTGTTTTTGTTTTAAGTATATTTTGTACAGACTGTTAAGTGGCAACGGTTAACCACTTGACCTCTCTGCATGTACGCATTCTGCCACAGGTTTCAGCTTCGGAGAAGAAAAACCGTAAAAGCCAGAAGATGCATTTGTCACCAGAGGGCAGTTCAGCGCTGAGGACATCCAAATCCACAGATAAACTGTCTCGTATCAGCTGCGAATGCCACGAGGCTGCTGACAGGAGGAGGTGCCTGGGTTCACCCGAGCTCGAAGGTCAGGAGGGCAAAGAGAACGAGCTGAGGTCAGAGCAGGAGGTCAGCAGCTGCAAAGCTAACAGCGTCTTGGAGGAGCAGGCTCCTGAATGTGTGGAACCCGAAAACAGTAGCAGAGTCTTATTCCCAGATGACGACAGTAATCAAATCCTTCCTGTGGAGCAGTTCTTTGGGAACTTGGATATTGTACAGGTGAGGCTTTGAGGTCTGCAAGTTGTGTAAGCTGCTATTATTACAAGTCAAAAAGCCCAAAGGTGTCAGAAAAGGTCAGGTTGAACCTTCACCAAGTCATATCAGTTTGTTTTTGTGGTTACACAATTTCTGTAGGGCCTTACAAAGTTCAAAATTTAATAATCATTCAATAACTATAAAGAAAATTGAGTCCTTAAATATGCCTAGATTTTTCCAAGCAAGTATCAAATTGCCATTATTTAGGACATTTTGTTTATTCGGTCAGTTTTAATTTGTTGGAGGCCAGATGTGTTGCATATTAAAAAAGGAAAGCCGCCTTTGTTTAAGATTTGAACGCCATATAAATAGAATAATCCTTTGAAATTGCTTTCTTATGTGCTTTTTTGTATTTAATATTTTTAAACAGTTTGTTTATTACAATTTTTTCTCCTGTTTAGGCTAGCTAAGCACTTGGCTGATATAAATTAAAACCAAATTAGCTTGCCTTAGCTCTAAGCAGCACATCTGCACATCGACAACCCCACAAATAATAATTACCTCAAAATGTTTTCCTCATTATTGGTTGACAGATATTTTATATCTTTATTGGATGGATTTTCGCATCTGGTGGATTCTGTGGTTATTTTTTATGTTCTCTATTTGGTACGTGATTGAATTCATGACAAGGTAACTTCAGAGTAAATAACCTTTTTTAATACTTTTAAAATGTCTATAAAAGGTGAAAACATTGAAGGGAGGGTCAAACGACAGATTTCTCGCAGGCAGCTGTGCCAAGTCAAAAGTCTTGTACGAATCTTTGTTCCTGCAGGACTTTCCTCGGAGATCACCTGCTACTTCTCCCAGCGCTCGAAGGAAGGAGAGGTTTCGGCATTACTACGCCCAGGAAGACAGCGATGGCGAAGAGGTGAGCCACGGCGCCCTCCGACGAGACGACGGACCCGGCACTTAGAGAAGAGCCGGTTAAAACAGAACAACATCCCAGCACTTTGGAAGAAGCGACAACAAACTACCTGCTCAGATGCTGCATTCAGTCGGTCCTCTTCATCTGTCGAAGTCTCAGCGCCATCACTGATGTGAGGATAATGAAGGATGGTTAGTGGTACTGGCTGCCAAAGGAATACTTCATTGGCAGTGTTTCTAGCGGTGCTAAAGTGCGATTGTAAACGCGGAAATGTTCTTCGCTGAAAGCATCCGGTTTGGTGCCGGATGCTTTCGTGCCGTTTACTCACATGCCAACAATCAGTAAAAAAAATTATAATATGTAAGCAAACACAAGTGCTTTGTTTTGAAACTGTATATAGGGTCGCATATACTCTCATAAATCCACGCTCGGTTGTAGCCTACCTTTTTCAGAGCGCTCAGCGGCACTTCAGGAGATATTTTAAAAAAAAGAACAAAATATGAGGAGGACAACAGATTGACTAGAAATGCACCAGTCAGAATTGTGCTGCTAATTTCCAATTTTTGTAAAGCACTAAGCTCAAGTTAATGCTGATTGTAGCCAATTAAGTTTTCTCTCCAAGAGAGATCCATTTTTTTGTCCTTCCATAAGCATCTTAAAATTGAAAGTGTTGAGTCTTCTTTCTTAACAACTTCCATGCTGAACAGTGTTATTGCAACACACAGCCTGGTTTTTTGTTGCACTTATTGATGAGGTAAAACAAAACAAAACAAAAAAAAGATTCAATTTGACTGGCCAGAGCCAGTCAAGTTGAAAATCTGCTCCGTCTCTTACTGCTCTTTTTGAGTATTGATTAGCTGATGCAAAAATATCAACGTCCAGGTGCTCTAAATGACAATATCTCTGCTCCAGGCAGTGTACTTTAATGTCTGGATTGTGGAAGTGCTGAACACAAATCTGATATTGGTTTCCTATCATTTGAATAACTACAACAAACTATTCACTTAAAAGTTGAATAGTTTCAACGCAATCCTTTTAACTTTCTGCAGGCAGTTTGTATACATGCCGTATACTGTACTGTCATTTCAGGGTTGCTGTAATGTTGCATTATCCAGCTGTATCTTATCAGGATCCAACCACTTTAACATTCACTCTGAGATGTCAAACATTGCTGAATTAAACGTAACATTTTAATGGTGCTTGTATAACTAATTAAGTTTATACACTGATGAAAATTTCATACAAATTACAGCAGATTGACAAATATGCAAGCCTATGTCAGGCTACCTAAATGTTACGAGGAAAGAAAGCTGGAGAACGCCCAAAGAGCAGATCTGTTCATTACAAGGTCAGAGATGAATGTCATGTTCCAGCCATTTTTCACCAAGTGTCTAAAATCCATCCTTAAAGGTTTTTGGCAGCTTTGTAACATAATGTCTGTATGTAGATAAACGTATATATATATATATACACACACACACACACATGCAGCTAATTATTCTTTGTATTCCTACCGTTTATAGATGCTAAAGTTATTAATGACAAAGTTGATTTTTCTGCCTAAGAATCTGCATTTTAACTATATTTGAACAAACTTGATTGAGAAATATAACCTTAACAGGTTATCTGCAATTGCACTAGAACTATATCCACAGGTTTTGTATATAGCTGATTGATCTGACCACTTAACAGAAATATTATATATTATTACTGCCTTATTTATGTAAAAATAAATAACATTTGTCCTCAGTGTGTGCAACTCAAGACTGATTGAATGTCTCATTATTTGGGCAACATTCTTAATCCATCCATTTATTTTACATTATTGTGCTACATAATACAATAAAAAGCTTTTCATGATTTACAAAACTGTTTTGTTTCATTTTGTTCAATGAATGACAAGTTATCAATTTTACAGCAAATAAAAACTAATTTAAAAAAAAAACATTAGCGTAAAAACATTTTTAGGTACAATGCTTTTTCTTCCCTTTGGTATCTTCTTTTGCTTTCCTTGCATTTTTACTAGTCCTGAACATCTTATTGGTGTCACACGTCAGGTCGTGCGCTCCCTTTTTGTGGCAGACGATGTGCACTAGCTTCAGGTTTTCCCTGGTGAACAGCATTTGGTAGAAGTAGTTCAAGTTTATGTCTGCGGTCTTATGAGTCTGCAGAGCCTCCAGCAGAGCGGGTATGATAGTCCTCTTCTTTTCAATCCTGCAGAAAAGGGGAGGGGGGAAAAAAAAAAAAAAAAAACGTTTGATTTCCTGCTATTTTTAATACGCCAGGAACAGGAAGTATCCGACCTGTGATCAAGGTTCCAAGTGCTGAAGACGATCCTGCTCTCTCTGCTGCCATACGGGTTGATTGAATGGAGCAACTGGCACAATTTCTGCTCAAACGATCCCTGAGGAGACCACAGAGAGGAAGAGTGAGGATTGTGCAAAGCAGCTCCACGTCTTTCAAAAATGGTAAAAAAAACTGTCACTGTACGTCTGCTGTGCTTCTCACAATATATTTCTGTTCCTAATAAACGGAATCACAAATGTCTGATAATTGGAGCAGAGGCCATCCCGTTGCAACAAAGCTCAACTTCTGCCGTACCTGACAGGTAAACCATCCTTCCTTAGTGCAGAGGCGCCCAGACTCCTTTTCAGTCCTATCGAAGTATTTACCGTTGTACTTGTCATTTTTCAGCATCTCAACCAGGCACTTTGATGCTTTTAAAAACTCCTCCTTCACTTTAGCTTTCTGTATGCTGTTGGTTGCATTGTCCACCTGAAAAATCGACACAGGAAATTGAAATGTTTAATTTGCTCAGGGAAACATGCTGGGTCTCAGCGGGCCTCGGGTTCACCTCCTTCATGTAGCCTCGTATTCTGCTTTCACAGTTGTACTTCATGTAGGCAGACTTTGTTTTGAATCGCACATCGACACCTGGAATAGAACCAAAACAATTCCAAGGGTTAAGTTTAATACAACTTTGGAGATAATCTTTCATTGAGAAGGTACATGTGGACATGTTTTAACAGTCAAAAAGCATCAAGATTTGGCCTTTTTACAAACAACAAAATGTCATGTCCTTTATCTAAAAAAAAACATATTGTTTAAATTGAACAGATTATTTTTGCTCTTTAATTCTTAAAGCACATAAACGTGTTCAGTCAAGTATGCTGATCAGATTAAAAGTTGGTTTTTGGCATGTACAGCATTTACAGATCCTTGCATGTTTTGTAGAGTGCTGCACTGATGTTGCTGGATACCAACACCAAAGACAAGAGTCATTCATCATCATTACAATTTAAAAAGAAAAAACAAACAATTGTTTAGAAAGTGGACTCAACCGTCCACTAGTAAGTGTAGAAAAAAATCTGCCTTATTATTCATATTTTGGGCAACATATACACTGTAAACTATGGCTGCAACCTATGTAAGTAACTGATTTATTGGTCTTAGTAAAATGGTACAAAAAGTGGGAGAATCAACCATCTTAATTTATTGCTCCATGGTATGTACCAGTAAACCAGTCTTCATCCTCCTCTCTGCTCTCCAGATCCGATCTGTCCTCCAGGTTCTGCAGCAGGTCAGTAAGGACTTTACGCCTCTTGAAAGATTTCTCGTCAGCGAGAAGACCCTTCGCTGCTTCAATGAGACCGTCAGCGTGGCGATCGGTGTTCAGCAACCGACCAATGTCACAAACAACTACAAGAAACAGTGACATGCTTAAAACAATAACACACAAAAAAATTGTGTTTTAGATGATATGGAGGACAAGTATATTTTTATTTCATGTACCTCCACTCCATGTCTGACCCCTTGACAGAAGAACTAGTTCGCAGTTATCAGGCAGGGTGGGAAAGAACTCTTCTGTCACTATGGTTCCATCTTCATATAAACACACATGAGCACCAGAAAGTGGCAGCTGGGATGGTGAAGAACATGATAACATCCCATTATTGTAAGCTCAACAAGTACACAAACACATAATTAGGTCAGATCAGCTGCTTCATTCCAGACTTTAAATTTTGCACACACACAGACACAGACATAGACTTAAGACTTTGTCTATGGGAAACTTATGCAGGCAGCTTAATTGGAAAAAGTCAAATTTGCTGGTAAATGTGTAAAAAGCCAAATAATCTCAAGAAACTTGTTTTTATGCAGCAACAAAATCTCACACTAAAATGTTCATTAGGGGTAGAGCACAAAGGTTCCCCAGAATTGTGATATTTTAATGTAAATTAGCAAAAAGATTATATTACAGACAGCAATACAAAAACATGTCCAGATGTGGACTCATCTGATGGCATCCCAGGCAAACACACAAACAAAAAGAAACTGAAAGTAAATTCATCTTTTCATTCTAGTAGCACAATCCTAAACGTGAAATTTATTCAGGAGAAGAAAATGTAATTCACTCATTTAATTCATATATAAGTAGATGTGCTTATAAATAAATGTGTTTGCTCTACCTATGTGTAATAAAAAAATAATTGTCCCAACAACGATTATTTCAAAAATATTAACGTATGTTCGCCAGTAAATATTCAATATGCCGAAATTAATAGGTCAGAATTTTCCGGCCAATTAAGTTATATTCTGAATCTGAGTTAATTAAAATCAACTATTAGTTTAAAGATATAAGCTTTATCTGTATAACTGACGTATCACAGCTCTGGAAAACATCTTTTTTTCCCCATCCATCGCTTCACTCAATGTTCAACTTGTTCGTGGATTATTAAAATGCCTTATTTTCAATTAATAACTAAAGAAAACTATTTAGCTGTCCATGGTTATCATTTCCCTCTTCATTCTCGTAGGTTCAGAAAAAGGCAGCGACGAAAGTTATTAAACTACAAAAAACATACGGCTTACCTGTAACAGCTTACAGCCCTTTTTAATCAGCTCCTTTACATCTTTAGAAGCAATGCCGTATTTTCTGTCCCCACTATAACCTCGAATTTTAACAGGTTTGTTTTTCTTGAAGAATCCGAACATTTCACAATTTATACAAACCGCTTCCTTTGTTTTTCTTCCTCTTGACGCTCAGTAACGCAGTGGCAGTGATGTTGTGCTGCTCCCTAGTGGTGATTTTAAGACAAAGTCAGAAATCATCACTAAAACAGCTAATTTTGGATTTTTTTTAATTAGCGAATTGTTTTATTACTTTTAATCACGGTCACCTTTAAAATAAATAGACTAAATCATCAAATCAAATAAACTTACAATTTGCTTTTTGTTTTTGTGTTTTCTTTTTGCTCTATATGATTGTATTGAAATTACTTTAAAGTGGCTTGAGAATGTTTTGTGAATTGGAGATACATAAACAAACTGAACTGAATTGAACTGTAGCTCTGTAAACACAACAATCAGTTGTAACATAACTAAACTTGCACCTTCATTTAAATCTTAAATGTAAAATTTCAGCATTTTGCACCTTTTAACTTTTTTGTGCTAAAATTATCAGACCAAATTTAATATTATTCTCATTCTCAATAAACAAATATAAAAATGCTAGGGCTATGGTCTGCATTAAAATTCAAGAATTTATTGTAGGCTCTTGTTAACACAACATCGATCCAAACAATATTCAAGAAATTGCCTTAAAAGAACTTAATTCTAATACATCATTGATATTATATTATATTATATTATATTATATTATATTATATTATAAATGGGAACTAGGGTACTCCAGTTCATTATCTTTGTTGTCCAATAAAAAAACAAATAATATAGGCAACACTATTTTGTCAATTTTTCTCCAAATGTTGGAGAACGGTGAAATACTGATATAATCATTAACTGTACGGTTGTGTGCGCCAGTAAGTCTCTACGAGGTTTTGTGTTTTGATTAGAAAGCAACTTGTAGTGTTATATTTTATGTTTTATTTTATTTTTGTAAGCTGTCAAGGGACTGCAGATGGGAATGTATGTGTTATATTTACTTACTCAGCATTCACTTGTAATATTCCGTTAAATATCAGATCACATTATTACCATGGCAACTGACGCAGCACGGTGGGCTCTACCAAAGAACAGGTTAAGACCGGCTAAACACCCCAATTGCAAAATTTATTTTTTCGTGATAATTCTTTCTTTGAAACACATTGTGTTATATTGTAGCATTTCAGCTAATTTGTATTAGTATAAGATTGTTTTTCTTATCAAGCAAAGCTACTTTTTAAAATGCTTATACTGTTCCGCACCCCTCTAAAAAAATATAGTACAGCTGGATTTCCAACATGGCGGCCGCATGTTTGAAAATCTGAATAAGAGAAATTCTATTCCAAAGTAGAACCGCAGGTAATTTAAAGATTTTTTTTTTTGTTTTATTTTATGGTTTTTAAAAAAATATTTTTATTGATAATGATTTGGTGAAGGCAGAAGAGTGAAACAGCATGGCTGACAGCTGGGAAGAAGTGTTTCACAAGAACCGGTTGGTTCCCCCGTCCAGCCAAACAGTCCGCCTGGCTGTGGAGAACCACCTCACCGCTAACCACAGCTTTCAGCTCAGCTTCAGCCGGCTTATTGTAGCGCAACTCCCGCAGGTAATTCAAAACATTAGTTGTCTGTGTCTGTATATGGCATAAATGTTCTTGGGTTTAAACCAGTAATCTCAAACTAGTCCTCAAAGGCCGGTGTCCTGCAACTTAGATGTTTCTCTGCTTCAGCACACCTGGCTCCAATATTAGCTCATTAGCAGAGCTCTGTAGAGATTGACTGCATGCTGCCAAGGTAGTTTAGCCATTTAATTCAAGAGTGTAGGACTAAAGTTGTGAAACTCTGACTCTCGAGGACTGCAGTTTGAGAACACTGCTTTAAGCAAACAAGTTAGGTCCAGCAATTTATTTTGTGTATTTCAGTCCACTTTTATTAATATTATATAGAAAAATAATCACAAAGACCTGTAATATGACCCACAATTTAACACGATTGTAAAACACAATCGTGTTAAATTGTGACTTACAGAGGTTTTCATGCCACTTGAACTTTTTCACATTGTGACACGTTACAACCACACGCCCGTGTGTTTTCGTGTGATTTGTGCACCGGTCTGAAACGGTACATGAATGTGAAGTCAAAGAAAAATAATGCGTGGTTTTTAACATTTTTTAAAATAATAATCTTTAAACTGTTTTTTGCATGTATTCAGTCCCCCAAGTTGGTGATTTTAAAAGTATACTTTTGAGTTTGGCTGTGGATTTTCTTTTACTGATTTGCTTGCCTAGAGACTGAATGTTTTGCCCGTATTCCTTTGCAAAATATTTTAAGCTCAGATTGGTTAGAGCTTCCTACCTTCTAATTGCATGTTCATATGATTTATTTATAATTCGCTTAATTATTTTAGGCATCGAGAAGAGCTTTTAGTTGTCCATCTTCTTTTGTTGACCCACAGGATCTGTCAGCTGGGGAAGATGTGACCTACCAGCTGCGAGTGACTCTGTTTGACAGAAAACTCCAGCACTTTTTTGGAAAAACATGGAAGAGCTCATCCCAAAAGATGAAAAACAACAAGATTTCCTTCAACGAGGTAACTTTTTGTCTTAACACATTTCACTGAAATAACTGCAGCTGCAAAGTGCCAAGCATTTATGGGCTGCAGGGCTCTGAGGATCTGTAATGAATTCTTCTCATGTTGTCTTCATATGCATTCAGTCAATGATTATTTGTTGAAATCAATCCCTATTCAACCCTTAATTGTGTTAATTGAGCACTGCCATTATTTAATTACTACTCAAAAGATTTGAAACTGAACTCTTTTTATATGAAGATTTATGATTGGATTGTATTCTGCTGTGCTCTCGAGACTGATATGAGCATAAACAAAACTAATCACAACAATTTGGCAATCACGTTGGTGATTACCAAAAATTGATCCAAGTTGTATTGCACAACTTCCATATTTAAAACTTTCAGAAGGAAACAAAACCCAGATATTATCACTGAAAACTGCATTTAACTTTTTTTTTTTTTTACCTTTCCTTTATTTGGGTTTCCTTTGTTTCTGTTGAAACGGTGTATTGATACTTTTAAAGTGGCATGTCCGGCTGAGTTCATTTTAAAAATAAAAAAGACAGAACGGCACAGATTGTTGCAGCATAACTGATATAAATTGTGCCAAACATTCCTGCTAGGCTTCTCTGGGTTCTGGAGAATGTTGGAAAGTTTAGTTTTAGAGACTTTATTGCATAAAGGAACTCCTTCCTTCCTTGTAGGAAATTTTTTCTTCTAGTTTATATCTTGGCTGTGCTATTAGAGTTCTCTGCTGGTGTTTGGGGTTATTCAGACAAATATATATTGAGTCAATCAATGTTTATAAATTGGTCCTTAATTATATGTTCATTGCTTCTTTGTGATGGACTGAATCTTTCCATGGTCTACCCAGTGACAGTCAAGTGTTTGTGTGCTAATATCCAAAATCTGAATAGTAAAACATAATTGCAACCGACCCATAGAAATATGGGGGCTGAGGTTTCCTTTATTGGATTAAAAACTTATTTTCCAAGAAAGTCCTGGCCAAGAGTAAACAGCAAATAATGTCCCCTTTCCTGTTCAGAGCTGCACTCAGCAGGCAGACTGACATCCTACCTCAAAATGTTGTAAGTTGGACATTTGAATAGACCCACATAGTACAGTAGGCCCTAAAGTATCACTTTGCTTTACTGCTGCTGCTTGTACAATACTGGACATCCTTTGTTGTTTTCAGGACATTTCTACTGCTGAGCTCTGCAGCCATTGTTTAAGCTTAGTTTGTAGATTTAGTTGCAGCTTAAAAAAACAGCCTTGTAGACAGCTACTTTTAAATCGGTCTGGAGTAATTTCTTATTATGAGCCTGAAGCACAACTTCTGCTCTGGTACACTGATGATTAGTTGAATTGATTAATCAAATCATTACTTTGAGCTTCTAGTTAGTGATGTGCTGATTATGCTGCTCAGAGGAGAGAATGCTTTCTTCATTATAATGACAAACACTCAGCATGGAAATGAGTTTTTCTGCGTCTTTCAGTTTTAAATAGAACCATAGCCACATCTTCAGGTCAGCCATGGTGCAGCACATGGCCAACACTCACTACTTGTCTGTGCCGTGCTGGTGTTTTAAACTTCCCATCTTCAAAAACACCCAGCTTTAATCTTTGAGCCACCTCTATGGTTTCCCTCTGTTCATTCTCTGTAATTTCTCCGCCATCATTCCTTTGGTCCTTTGTACTGTGTAATCATCATTAGACAAAGGAAACAGAGAAACCATTTTTATGTCACGCTATCTCATGTCCTCTCTGAAAGATGTGCTTTGATGATGAAATTCCTCATAACTTATTGAAAGTGCTAAATAGGATGTTGTAAGAATCAAATATGCGAGATACAAAAACTAGTACTAAGTCTACTACAGAGAAATTAAACCTCGTCTACATGTCAGGATTCTTTATGGCACTCTTTAATTTATTTTAATTCTCCACTGACCAAAAACCTGATGGTCAACAATGTTGTTGTTTTGTCCTGCGATGAGCATTAACAAATTGATACTATTGTAAATTTCAAACAAACCCCTCCTCCCCCAACCCTTTCTATAGTCTTTATAAGCTGTTAGATAAGGAACTTGGATTGTGTTGAATATTTTATGGTGTCAAAACGCCAATGTCTTTGTAGACTATACTGTTTGCTTTATAATCCTTTTATCAAGTAATGTTTTAAAGGGTTTGTTGGCTTTAGTGTACTTTATTTGATAGTGAATTGACAAGAAAGGGGAAGACATGCGGTAAAGGTCACCAGGCCGCGAATTGAATCTGCGGCGGCCGTGTCGGGGACTAAGGCCTCCATATGTGGGTTGTGCTTAACCCCTCCGCCACCACAGCAACCCCTTTTATCAGGTTATTCTTTATAAACAACAAACTGTTAAAAATGGTGGTACATTTAAGAGTTTTAGGGGAAAAAATTAACAGCTTGTAAAAGAAAAATAAAATAAATAAATAACACTACCATTTTGAGTGATTTTTATTACTAATGATGAAATACTTTCATCACTGTATTTATGTACTGTATTCAGTAAGATTGATTGTGCTCAAATTTGTTCAAAGCTGGCTCATGTGGATACTACCTCAAGTTCATCATTACATTTCATTTTATATCAGTCAGACTGGATATAACATGAACATTATGAACTAGTATGAACTTAAGTTCATACTAGTTTTTTTACTTGCATGCAATGTGCTGTGTGTAGTAGAAAACTAACACTGCATATTGCCCTTAACAGGCCATCCCTTGGTAAAACATGGTGGTAGCAGCATCATGTTGTGGGGAGATTAAGAAGATGGATGAAGCTAAATGTGGGGTCAGACTGGAGGAAAACCTGGTAGACTTCATGTTAGAGTGGAGGTCCATCTTCTAACTGGACAGAGGTCCTTAACTTACAGCAAGGCTACTGTGGAATAGCTTAGATCAAAACATATGCATGTCTTAGAATGGCCCAGTCAAAGTCTGGTAAACAATAGTTTTTGTTTTTATGACTATGTTTTATGACTTTGAAATACTTAAAGGACATGTATTATAATTATTTTTTTAATCATTGCTATGCCTCCAGCACCACCATTGCTTTCAGCTTTTGTGCATGCAACCCATTGCATGCACAACACGCCTACAAATTGCACCTGGAAATTTAATATTTTCTTTTGTACGAGTAATTTAGTATCTTTGTATCCTTTTAAGATCAGGCCCTTGGTCTCCTTACTCACTGTAGCTTTAGGTAACAGAAATCTTAAAATTTTGTCCCTGGCATAGGCTAAGTTACTTTTTCTGATTTATTTATTTATTTATTTATTTTTTTCCTCAGGAACCACAGTTTGAAGAGCCCTGGTCTGTACTGTTTCATGTAACCTAAAGAACATAGATGTAGTGTGGAATGGATCGATAGTAGAACAGTGGCAGGTTGTCTAAAATGCCTGAGAAAAGCCATCTGCACACATTGCATCTGTGCCATAAAAGGAGGAAGAAGAGAAAAAGAAAATCCCCCTTGTTTTTTTACGCAATACAATTTTAAAAAAAATGTCAACTGCTTGTTTTTTTGGTGACATGCTACAAAGTAGATGTTTAGCTCTTTTGATTACATATTCTTTTTTTCTGTGACTGTAAAAAGCCAGTCAGATGCAGAATCGCAGTCTAACTGATGGCAGGATTTTGACATCTTGAAGTCGAATAAAGTTTGACATTGCCTGCCAGAGGATTTTTTTTTAAAAGCCAACAAATATTAACAATAAAACATAGCTCCACGTAGTGTAGTTGAAAATTTATCCGAAGGCTCCATGTTGTTATATTTGAGCCGATATCTGGGGAGCAGCTGGGTGCCTGTGTTCTCCCTCAAACATCTGAATGTCTCTGTGAATCCAGGCTGGAGGCCAGTCACCCACTGCTTTATAAATGGATCGGAGCAACGAAGAGCCTCCCCGTAGCTCTCGAATTTGAAACCTACTGAGGGCGATACAAATTTGCCTCCTCACCTTGCAGCGTGTTTGTGTGTAAAATACGCATCTTTTAGTGAAAAAGAGAGTGTTGCAAAAATCTTTTAGCAGTGGCATAAATGAGTCACAGCTATGGCACATTCTGATTTCCATTTTGCAACCATCAGTTTTCTCCATTTCTCCCCCCCAACCCACCATCTGCTTGATGTTCTTTTGATCCAGCATTTTCGCTGTGCACGGCCTTACTTTGATCCAACACAATAGTCATAGCCGCTATAAAAATCCACTTGGTATCCCAATCAGCATCTAAATCCCATTATCCATCCAGGATAATAATATAAACCACATCATATCCTATAAGGATGATAAAGTAGGTCTGGCCCTTTCTCTGCCACGCTGCGAGAGCTGCAGCAGCTTTTTTTTTCTTTTTATTAGATTTGGCCCGTTGCTCTCACGCTCATGCTCGTGTTTATGAGTGGCAAATTGCTGTTTCATATCCAAATAATGTCAGTGGGGTGGGGATTCACTCCTAAGCTGCATTAGCACGTTGAAAATTGCACCTCCCTCCCCACTCAGGCCATGATGGATTGATTTTAATATCCACTGAAAAGCAAAGATGTGCAGTGATTAAAGGCAGAAAGAGAGAGAGGGAGCTCCATTTTAATTCGGTTTCATTTTTTTGTACCTGTTTTTTGTCCCTAACCAGAATTCATGACATCATTACGATGTCGTTGCTTCTGTTACTTTATGTATCAGCTCCTTTAATGGTAAATATATATATATATTTTTTTTCTTTTAGTGAAATGCAGTTTATTTTTTAAGTAAGCTGCATGGGCTTGTTGAGTCTCCTTGAAGTGTTTTTTTATGGACCAGATGCAGAAATCATATCCACTGACTGTAAAAGATCAAACCTTTGTTTAACCCCCCACCCCCAAAAAAACAAACAAAAAAAAAAACAAAAAAAGGGGAGGTTAATTTTTAACCTTCATTGTCTGTACTCTTTCAGGACTTTTAATACTGTAATAAAGCAAAGTAATTTGAAAAGTCTTCGGAATGCTCGTTTTTTTAGGGGCTGCTGCA